GTATTCAATTTTATTTTGGATAATACACTCCGTTACAAACGGCTAAGACGCGAAATATAATGGAAAATCGCCCGTCAGATAAAGAACCCGGTCACCCAGTCAGGTTCCAGGCTAAGATCTCTCGATCAGCCTGGCATGTTCACAATAATTTCTTAATAATTTCTCTGGCATTGACTGGCTTTTATAAGTCGTGCTCAGGAAATGTTGAAAATGATCCCTCTACTATCAGAAGATCTGATTGGGTGGCTACCTCACGGGCAATGCAGGGGTTACGCCTGTCTAGCGTACCTGAGCGCCAAGGCCAACATCGAATTGCGATCGCCATTACGAGGGCTACTGTTCGCACGAAAGGTTAAGTTGACGTGGTCGCCTTCGGAGGATGGGAAAATGTAATCAGAAGGGGAAGAAGATAAAAGGTTAATAGGCCATTAAGGCCGCTACCTCCGATAAGTCCACGAAAGGGACCGGAACCGTGACCGGCGACCGGAAGGAGAGAAGCGCTCGTCACAAGAAGGACCAGTCGCCTTCCACATGACGCCAACCACGGTCACTCCAGCACGAGGATGGATCTCGCGAACTTGACCCGCAGGTTCCAGGGGCTCGAATTAGTAAAGCTCGGTCAAGGTTGCGCCTGCGCAGGCAGGCCTGTGGAGGGCTCGCGGGGCCCTTGCTTTCCCGATGTGGACCGGGCGTCCGGCCATCGGTCCGAGAAAAGAAAAGGCATGTCGGAAAGAATGATCGAGAAACCGGAGCGGGATTCGAGAAGGCAGAGCCCGAAATTTGCAGGACTGGTAGATCCGAAGCCCGAAAGGGCCTGAGACCGGGGCTCAGTGGGGAGCGGACGGAGTGTAAATGAGACGGATATTTTGGGGCCGGGCAAGTTTGAACCACAAAAGCAACGTGGGTAGCTGGCAGTCCTCCATCATGAGAACATGGGCAGTTACGCAGAGGCCACATGGGCCGCGACCACTTTCTGACCTTTGCATCGCCTCGAACCAACGGATTTATGTATTTACTGATCGGATTCTTGTGCGCCGATCCTGCTGCTGTCCCGAGGGCCCAGGGCCCAGGACGCAGGCTCGCGGTCCCGGTCCCGGTCCGTCCTCCTCCGTTCCCTCGTCCGTCTCGCTCCGGGCTGGCCGGACGGCGGGTGCGAGTTCCGTCTCGGAGGCTTTCGGCCAGTCATGATTGGACGGAGCCTCCTGCGCTGCAAAGTTCGCTCTGCGAACAAACAGTGGAATGTCCTACGGACGCTCAGTTCGCCCTTTCTCCTTTAGCTGATGCTCATGCCTGTGCCCATGTGAGCTCTGGGCTCCGCCCGTACTGCGTCTTGCTTGTCCCGCGGGTATGAGGCCGCGCCAGGCGACCGCTGGACGCGAGCAGCAGCGTTGATACGGAGCTCCGAACTGCACGTTCCGAGCTTCGTCCCCAGCGGATCTTCGCCTCTGTCCTGGACCCGTGTACGCTGCGAGCGAGCGGCCACCCTGTCCCGTGGCGCCACTCACTGGTTCTACGTACCCCGTGCGCTCTGCGTTCTCGCGTAAGCCCTGTCGAATACTGCGCAGTTTGGCACGAAGCTCGACCGCGTCAGCCGTCGCCCCTGCTGCCCGATCGATGGATCGATGGATCGATCGATGCTCCCGTGGATCCGTTGTGCAGCCTTTGCTGGCGGGGTTGACAGCTTTCGTAGTTCCGGGATCGATTTCGAAAGGAGTGTCTTGCATCACAACACCGACCGGATGAATCTGAGGCCCAACATTCTCCGAGTGAAACCAATCAGTAGTGTATGAGTGATGAATGTCCAAGTGCAGGGCTGTTTGACATCGCCCAGCAGGACGGTGACCTCTGCTGCTGCTGTTGCTGCAGCTATAAGGCCGAACGAGGAAACTTGATCTCGGCGGCAAATGTGAAGCCGGGCAGCCGCAACAGCAGCAGCAGCAGCAGGAGGGAGTCCCGCATGTTAGGAGGACAGGTTCGCACTTCTTAATGTCGTGAAGCGGGGATGGGAAAGGATGGGGAGAGTATCGTGGTAGGCCACTACGGAGTTACTGAGTCATGCCGCCGTACGTGTAGAATGGCGAAATGATCATTCGATGCGCAGAGGAGGCTGCGACAACTGGCACGTGAAAAGGCCTCGACTTGTATCGTGAGCTGCGAGCGCGACTACAGTACGATGCGTAGTGTACGGAGAGCTCGTCCAAGAGCGACGGAAGCAGGAAGCAAGCGATGGACGTACGCGAGTATTGGACGCCTCGAGCGAGACTTGAATGTGACAGTATGTCACCGGCCTCGCACGAGATCCCACCGAGCTGCGCGACTGGGACTAGTGCCTTGGAGGAACGGTGGTTGGGACTTCGTAGAAAGCGAGTAACCTGTGAGCGAGCGCTCATAATAGTCTTGGATTCGTCGAGAGTAGTATCTACGGATCCACCTCTCAATCATTCAGAGAGAAGAGAGAGAGAGAGATAGTGTGTGAGAGAGGAGAGAGAGAGAGAGAGAGGGCAAGAAAACCACGTATGAACGCATCAATCATGAACGTGTGACACATTTGTCTAGTGATACCACTTGATATGCGTGCACACTGCAGCTTTTAAATTCTACTCGAAGGTGCTGTGTTTCAAAAACAAAATTCTCAAAGGGAACACCTCAAAAAGAGTGGGTAGGAGACACTGGCGGAGGCACACCCACCCTGCCCTGCCCTGCCTTGCCTGCCTCCATCCTGCCTGCCTGCCTGCCTGTCTGCCTGCTACGGACGGACCTAGGTAGAGCTCTGGCATGCGGCTCCGCTCTCTGGTCCGGCGGAGTCCTGAGTCCTGAGTCCTGCAGCTGACCTATCACCCCCACGAAGAAGCTCCAGACCCTGGGCTCTGATCTGTACTTCCATGCAAGTGCTTGCTGGTGGAGGAATTATACAATCACTGACGACAAGTTAATTGTAAGGGCAAGTGAACAGTCCATTAAAGGGAGGAGCACTGTATCTGTATCTGTGTTCTTCACTCACGATAACATTGAAGGGTATTCTCTACCTCCCGCAACAAAAGCATCGTGCAAAATATCCTGGTTTGAGCATGCATGTTCTCGTGCACGGACCTGCTGATTCAGGGGATGTGCGAGACCGACCTGCTGTTCTCCATTTGCTTGCTTTACTTGTAGGCCAGAAGGACGTTCAGAATGCTTATGACTATGGGCACTAGAGCTATGTAGCAGCTACGGCGCCTCTTATGCGAGGCCCAAGTAAGGGTATTGCTTCCGTCCTGGGAGGAAACTTCCCCACTACTCCAAACCGCGGGCCTACACATACATCCCAACACACCCATTCAGCAAGTATGGGATGCGCTGCGATTGACAAACGATTGACCGTGCGTAGTAATCATCTGCTCTAGTGAGTGCCTTCATTCTCTGCACTGTTGTCTACATGCTTAAAACCTTCTGTGAATTGGTTACTTCAGATCTGGCACAACTTGACCCCACTTTACTTGAGCGATTTCGATTCACAGCTGTTCAAATCAGGAGGAGAAGAAGAATGTTGACTTCATTCCCACAGGCGGACTAACACATATGCCTACAGAAATTCTGGTAATGATCGCATGCTTTATTATCCTCCTGGATCAATTTGACGCAGGAGGTAGTCTTGTGAGCAGATGACAAGGCTCATAGTACACCTCGAACCACGTCTGCGGAGTCCTCTCGCAGATGGAGGATATTTGATCTACAACCTCTGGATGAATGCTTCTCTCTAAAAAGCTACGCACTTTTCCAAAATGATGCCTCCCACACCAGGCCGATCGGCTTGTCAAGCCTTGCACATAGGAATGCATGCACAGCTATAACCAGTCAAACTTGATTCTGGACCAGAAACCTCATCTTTTGATTGAGAACCTCTGTCCGAGTCCACCTGCCCTTGGTGCCACAGTACATACACCCTGCAGGTGGTCAAAGCCAGCATACGACTGGACCAGCCCGCAGGGAGGGATCTTCCTCTACGCGCTTTATCTCTCTCTGTCAAACTACCGGTCGGATACTTATAAACCCGGGAGAAAGGTGCCCCGAATGATCTCAGGAGGCCTGGAGATCCGATCCTCCGAGCAGGAAAGCTGACTAGAGTTCAACCATGTACCTCAGTGCAAAAGTTGTCAGTAGATATATTGCAGGAAGCTGAATGATCAATTGATATTGAGAGAATTTCATTTCGGTACAGCACGTCCCAAATGTTTTGCAGCTCGGACCATTTGCAGTAAATTTGTCCAGACCGGTCGACGATATTATGACTTGCTCTATGACATTTATACTGCTTGCAGCAAGATAAGATTAGCAGTAGGAGATGCCATCATATCGTACGCTGCTAACCGATTCGAGTATTCCTGGACTCTCGAGAGAAGTAGATGCGTTAACAGAGTCAACACAGTGGTTGGGAGGTTTCGATAGCAGCAGGGTGCCGTTAACGCTCTTGTCCTACTGAAGAATTCCTTACTGGTGACCAACCAAACCCCGTGCTTGTATGCCGGGGTCGGCGTTTAAGATGAAGCAACGCAGCCAGAGGCCACAGCAAGAGCTGCAGAACCTCTTTGGGCACTGATATCCATCCGATATCAAGGGTATTCAAATTGATGCCGTAGTCCCGGTGACCGTCCAGATCACAGCGTTTTTATTCAGACATTGGCCCGACAACTGTCAGTTTCAGGACACAACAACCAGCTTCTCTTTACGAGAAAGGTGCAAAACTCTTCTTTTACGGGAGCCCCATAAGGAAATATGGCAGGGCAGAGAGAAAGAGGAAGAGATCAACAGCTGTCCGAGGTAGGCAGGCGACGAGGCCAGTGCATAGTAACACCGGAAAGCACGGTGCAGTTGGAGGATGGAGTAGATGAGCTGGGCTTTAGTAAAGACAAGCAGAAGCTTGAAGCAGAAGAATCTCCTTTCAGCTGCCAACTCTGCTCCAGTCCACAAAAAGATGCGAGACAAAACGATGCACACCCGTTGTGCGCGATCTGCACAATTTCAAGCTGAAACTCGGTTCTCCTGAGCCCTCCGATGATATATAGACAGAGGGACGCAACGTCCTCATTTAAAGAGTCGGTGCAAACACCGATAAAAAGAAAAGCAGCTGCAGTGGTGATTACTTGTTAGTTCCTATACGAACTCAAGGAGTTAAGTAATCCCAGGACGGAAGGAGCCCACTTCCGAGACTTGGAGACTCCATAGATTTCTCCAGATCCCGGACAGGAGCCTCGTCTCCGGGCCCTGCAACATCGTAGAACTTATTCAATGTGGCCGATGACATCTTGTTACATGTCTTGAGTAGATTTCCACTCTACAAGGGTCATATCTTACTAACACACATAAGATGCGAAGCTACAAAACGGGTTTGAAAGACCCAAGTAGTGTAGTTAGTAGCACATGCTGCTAACTACCATCTTCAAAGGTCAAGGAACGTGAAACACGACGATGAAACAATGTCACTCATCAGTAAATTATCAGGCCATTGAGGAGAACTTTTATTCGTTAAACTCTCCGGGGACAAAAAAAGAGGGGTTAGAAAAAGAGGCTACTACTTGATGTCCATAATCTTGATGACCGATGCTGCACCAATACGATGAAGAGCCACGATTGCATCCCCGTGTTGGCAAAGGTTCGTCTTCAAAGCGTGGCTGATAGCAGCATTGAGAATTTCATCTGTTGTGTCAGAGTCGGTGGCTTTAGCTGCGCCTTCCGCAAGAAGGGGAATCAATCCTCGACATACAAGACTGTGACGAGCAGGTGCTTCCTCGCTAAGCTCCCAAGTCAGGCTATCCGTTGTCATCACAGGTACTGCAACTGAGAGAATAGGAACAGAGGGACGGTACTTTGCGACAAGTTTTGCCGTACTTCCACCCCGTGTTAGGACAATGATCAAAGTCGCTCGTACTTTATTAGCAGTTCGCACCGCAGAGGATGCCAGACTTTCCAATGGCGTCATGGGAAGTGGAGCTGATTTCATTACACTTTTGAAGATAGCATCGTAATCAAGAGATGCCTCTGCTTCACGGCATATGGCCGCCATAATCTTTACCGCATTTTCTGGATAAGCACCTGCTGCTGTTTCTCCACTCAACATGACAGCATCGGTTCCATCCAGCACTGCGTTGGCTACATCTGTGGCTTCTGCTCTGGTCGGACGGGGAGATTTGCACATAGACTCCAGCATTTGAGTGGCAGTCACCACGGGCTTTCCTGCTGAGTTGCACTTGAAGATCATCATCTTTTGTGCCAAGAAAATTTTCTCCGTGGGGATCTCCATACCAAGATCTCCTCTTGCAACCATAATACCGTCACTTTCTCTCAGTATGTCGTCGAAGTTCACGAGACCTTCCTGATTCTCAACCTGCTCAGAAGCAGAAACATCTCAGCTCGTGTTTCCGAAAAGTTTAAATGTAAAGAAGAACAACAGTCCTCAACAAGTAGCGAGAGCTAAACATTTACAGAATTCCTGGGACCGGCCACATGTTGTGCATGAATGTCATGCAATGAATGCGATAGAACAACTTCGACATTATCGTGAACAATCCAGACACACAACTTGAAAGCTTAGAAAGAAGAGCCCAAACTCAATCAAAGTCGATGCAAAAGTATCCAAATGTAACAAAGATTAAACCGAACTAAGTAAAATCGAAAGTTAACTAACTGGAAGGTGCGGCCCGTACAAGAACAATGACGAGCATCAGTCCACCGTTGGCATATGGTAAATGGTAAATGGTAAATGGTAATATCCATCAATCCATCATACCCTAACTAGTGATACTTGTTTCCCAGCATTTTGAAAAGAGTAATTTCATGAGGCCAAGAACAAATTGCAAGGTGTCCGAGAGCCATTATGGTTCAATTAAAGTTGGTACTACAGTAACAGAAGAATACATGAAGAAAAATTAGGAAGAAGAAGCCGAAGCTTTAAGACCACCTCTAACGAGAGAGTCTTTTATGAGAGATGTAATCTTTCCTCAGTGTATACCTTTAAAGGTCAAAACTGCATTCTCCTTGGAGGGTGATAGCAATATTTTATACAGATTTTTAGATTTCTTAATCTTAAATTCTTATATTGACTACCTACGGAATTTAAGAAATATGCAGTCAAGGTAGTCAATGTAAGATATACGTATATTGACTACTTTGACTGCATAATTCATTTCCGACAGGAAAATTTCTGAATTGTCAAAGTAAAAGCAGTTGATGACATCATACTGATTCATATAATTATTCTTCTTCTATGATACCATGCGCTACTGGAAGTTACCCAATATAGAAACCCACAAGACGCAGACAAAATAATGGGTGAAATATCACCTAGGACCATCTTGAACAAGGAAATGGCAAAATTAAAAGCAAGATTTAACCAGTTATAAGTTGACCCGTAATATGACCAAGCAGGCAATGAGCAAATTCTGCTTACAACGTAGCATAATGATACATGAACGATGACGGTGCTATTGTAACGTTAGCGATGTCAAACAGAAGATCTAACTTGCTAAATCACTTGAATTCATACTTTAGTACTGACTCACAACCTGAACGCTGTGTGTAAATATCCAAGAGAAACTTTAAAGACGAACAGCTTGAATCAATCACAAAGATCCCGGAACACACAAAACACATTGAAAGCAAGAAAAATGCTAGAATTAATTTCGATTCTCAGTGCATTCGGAAGTACCTTTGAGATAATGTGGATGGTCTTGGAATGCGGACCAAGAAGCTCCTTAATTTTCACAACATCACTTCCTTTGCGCACAAAAGACGCAGCAATGAAGTCTATTTTGTTTGCAACGCCCCAAATCAAGATGTCGTCCTCATCCTTCTTGGTGACGGTAGGCAGATCCACGACGACACCCGGGAGATTACAGTTTTTCCTCTCACCGAGCATGGCAGAATTCATACATTTGCATTTCACTTTTCCTCCTCCTACATCGCATTCCAATACCGTCAACGTAATACTTCCGTCTCCAATCAGAATCGTACTACCGGGGGAAACGTCTTGCGGCAACTTCTTGTAACTCAACGCGATAGTGTTCTCATCACCCTTGAACTCGTAATCTGTAGTGAGAGTGATCTCTTTATCCTTGGTGATTTGAACTGGCTTTCCATCTTTCAACATCCCGGTACGAATTTCTGGACCCTGTCCATGACATATCAAGTCATCAGATACTCTCATCAAAGATGAAGGTGGGGGTGGGAAAAACGATTTGATGATTTTGCATAATTTGCGATTCGGCTAGGCCACAAATGTCAAACTGAAGGCCGATAAGTATCCAAAATCACGTCACTAATGCAAATTACGTGCGTTGTGAAGCTCTGTACGAAGGTTCAGCAATACGGTGGCATTGCAAAATTGTCATTGATCGTTTATTACTCTTACAGCTCTCCCATCATGAAGTAAAGAAAAGACACCAATTAGCATTCACGCCATCACATATACACGAAGGCATTGAACAAATTTCTCAGCAGAATTGGCCCTACTGATGCTCAGGCAGCATCTCGTTACTTGAGTCCGGTACATGTCTCAACATCTCTTTAATGGAAAATCCCAAAATAAGACAGCCTTCAAAATGCAAAAAGATCACATGCCCGTCGGCGACTGCTCCTGCACTCTAGACAAAGAAGACTCACTAACATGAGTATGGTGAAGGTCCGAAGGCGAAGGTTTCTGCATAACAACTATACACAATCTGCAAATTACAAGAACTAGTAAAATCTTTGACGATGGGTGGTCTGGCGTGGACTCAGAACGAATATCTGAATCTTCAAGTACACAGTAAAAACGCAATTGAACTTTGGTGGACGATATACGCCCCCAACAAGACTAGTGCCGAGCGACTGTAGAACAGACAACTACATAACTCAATCTGACCGGAGCTACAGAACGAAAGAACTCAGACCAAGAGGTAATTGCAGGAGACCAAACCTTAGTGTCAAGAAGGACAGCGCACATAATTTGCGTATTGGACATAGCCGTTTTCAGATTTTCCAGCGTTTCCTGATGGTATTCGTACGATCCATGGGAGAAATTGAACCGAGCGACGTTCATTCCCGCGCGGAGCATCTTCTCCAGCATATCGACATCTCGAGACTTGGGCCCCAACGTGCAGATGATCTTCGTCTTTTGCAACCTCCTCGTCTCAGTGGACTCTTTCAGAATCGATTCTATATCGATGGTTGCCATCTCCACGGACAACCTGGGGACACAAAACAGACTCTGGGTCGAGCCAGCAAAGCGCTCCTCGACAACCTGCGCAAACGATCCGATCAACACCGATACTCGGCGATGATAAGCCCCGTCCCGCTCTACAAGAAGACGAAGAAGATGATGGTGATGAAGAAGATGAAGAAGAAAAAGAAAGTGGAATCCCGGGATTCCGTCCTCGGCCTCCAGGCCCTGCTGCTCCGATCCACCCTCCACCAGGACACACTATTGTCCCCGAAAGCCCGTCGGCTCCGATCTTCGGCGAACAAAGCTGAAGCTCTGCTGGGCCGTGCTCCGCGCCTCGGCTCGCGCTGATCGAAGAGCAGCCTGCGAGCCTGCGTGCCCGGCCGGATGACTGCGACCCGCCACGGACAATGGCAATGGTCGCTTTGCGACTCCTTGTCGTCGACCGTCGCACCGCAACCACCCCGGGCCCGCCCCGGTTTCCCGTCTCTGGTCTTCGCTCTCCCGGCCTTCCCCGGCGCCGTGACTGGTCACTCGGGCGACCATCGCCTTCCGATGCTTTCCGTCCCTTCTTTTTCTTGCCCCGCAACAGCACCGGTAAGTCCCTGGGCCCACCCTCTCCTGTCCCGTGTCGCCTTGCGGTGTGGGGGTGGAACCAGAGCGGGCCGATCGAGCGCGCGATCGCGAGTGGGACTGCACAGTCGGCGTCTGCGGCCGTCGGGCCTTTGGCCATGCTGAGTAACTCGTCGAAATGTGCCGAGGAAACGACACGTGGCTCGGCTTGGACCGGGGACCTGCGCGCGTCCCATGGGACGGGCCAAGTGACCCAGCGCCTCGACCCCGCTGTCGCGTCCCCTATATTCGTAGCCTTGCCAGCTGCTTTCCGTCCGACATGTGCCGCAAAGTAATTTGCGGCGAGATTGTGCTCACTTGGCGTGGTTCATCGCCCGATTGCAGAGCCTGGTCATCGGGCACGCCGTCGTCCTGTATTAGACCTGCTTTCCTTCCGAGGTTCTCGTTGGACTTCATAACCCTTTCTGCTCCAGTTTTTTCTTCTCGCCGTCTGGATTGCATTCAGTGCGGGGGCCCCGTCCTTCCGTTATCCATTCCATGAAACTGAAAGGGGTCACATGGAATGTACGAGCCATTGCCAATTATACCAGGGGCCATCAAACCAATTATGGACATCAAACCAAGGGACACCAAACCGCAAGAACGAGGGCTGATTCTCGTGATGATTCAACAGGGGGTCGCTTTCAAATGAAACCCCAAATGTCAGCTGATGGTAGGAACCAACCACGGTTGGCCTGCGACAGCACAGTAGTGGGTTAAGACCGGATTATTAACTTTCAACACACAGAATCGCCGCAAGTCAGAGAATGGAGAATCATAGCTGACTCAGTTTCCGTCTCCGAAAGGCAGAAAGAACCTCTACCTGCAGTGGGGCACAAATTAGCTGTCCAACGAGGTCAAGACCTCCAGTCAAGACAAGGGGCTTCCAGTGGACCCGGCTTTCTGACAATCAGCGGTCTCAATGACGCTGATGCTCTAGGGAAAATATCCGAAGCTCGCGATGGACACTGTTATCCACAAGAGATTCCTCTCGGCGGCTTTACTTGATAGGTCCCAAAATTCTGTCATGCAAGATTGAGACCTTCGGGACTTTCGCCCTCCCGGAGACCACGAGGTTGGAATTATTTAGGCACTTGGACTTGATGAAACCAAGCCACTGTATATCACTCGCTTGACATGCAAGTCAGACAAGACCCAAGTATAAGGAAGGAGCTGCATGTAAACGGGTATGGCCAGATGGGGCGAACATATCTTTAATAATAGCAATAACCACCCTGTGTATCGGGAGAGGATAAGATAGCTTTCGTCGCATCGGGTCATCAGGTGAAATTGCCAATAGACCATAGTAATAATTACAGTTCAAATCAGATTCCGCTTCTTTCGACCGGGAGCAGCTTTCGAGGACACATGGGTGGTAAACTTTCAACGGTGTAAGTCCCTTATGAAGCGGGAGGAATTCACGTTGTAAGGGAGAAGTTCGAAATAAGGAAACTGAATTGCTGGGTCGATTGCGAGATTCGTGGGGATCGCACGTCATCAGCACATAAGTCAGCGAGGCAGACGATTTGAAGAGATCAAAGCATCATACAAATAAACAACGACGCTGCATCCAGCACAGTGACCCACTCATGGAACTGGGTTCAGCGAGATTTCACACTTCGTTTTGATTCACAAAGGAACTGAATAGTATACACTAGTACGAGCTCATTCGTTCAAGTACCTAAGTTTCATAAACATTGGCTCTTAGAATTAATTTCCGACACTAGCTCAAATGCTAGAAAGAATACGTTCGTCACTGAATAATACCGTTACAATAACTCGGACGGCCGGGACCTTCTCATGATCTAGGCCTCGAGTAATAATCTCAAAACCTTTCATTCACGGTCGTCGACAAGGGTGCGACCTGCATTTTCAGAAAAACCAAACGTCATATAGTGAGCAAAATAGACGTCATATTTGCAATCTTCATGGTCTCCAGAGTAACATTGAACGAGTTAAACGAATTTATCATAGTGATCGTGTTGACTCACCATGGTATCAAAATTATCACCTCAGGTATCTTGAACCGTGCAGTCCCGAATAAAATCTTTCATACGTTCTCGATCAGCTGAGGTCTCCACTAGAACCTGAAGACAACATAAAGGATTCAGCACTGGGCAGAGAACTCTCGCAGAGAGAGAGAGAGAGAGAGAGAGAGAGAGAGAGAGAGAGAGAGAGAGAGAGAGAGAGAGAGGTCAAACACGCTTCCTACGAATATGTAGGAAGCGTGACGATATAATGGGATTTTAAAAAAACCGTGAATTACCTCCTGCACTTCGTTCCCAAAACGGGCTAGCAATTTATATCCATTATCCAGAGGACCCGAGAGATAAATCTGCGGAAATCGTGAGGAAGAAAAGTTCGCGTCATATGTTCGAAGAAGAAGATATCAGTGCAACGAACTTGCTAGAATCACAATCGTAAAAAATTGAAAAAAAAACCAAAGCATTTTATCAAAGAGCCTGCTACACTGCCATGGAATGAAAATCCCTACCTGGAAAGCTGGAGCTAGTGCAGAGCCCCGTACTCTTCGGCCACTGCGTACAGCGGCAATTTCAGGAATTCGTTCCAGCTTACTTGTGAACCTGTTAAGTTCTTCATTCTCAGTCACCTGAGACTCACCAGTATCGCATCGTAAGAGTAAGATTCGTTATCAATGACTGCAGTAGCTGTTGATAAAACGGATGCTCAAGCAATACATCCACATTGAAAGATATCGAAGGGCATTTACTGCCCAGGATTGTACGTGGGTTTCAACTTACAGTTGTCTCTACGCTATATAACAATCACTTTAACCATGCGTTTTATACACAAGTTGAACCATGAAATTCTTTCGGATGGTGGGCGCCAACAAGGTTCAAGATGCGTACATTAGACTCATTCATAACATCCGCAGTATCGCCGATCATATCGGCATCTGGAGACACTAGAGATTCAAGTGTTTCGAGAAGAGGATCGGGCTGCAAAAGAAGAGAGAAGGCAGACATGTAGCAGCATGTTAGCATTTGATGAAAGAATAATGTCACCATGAAGTTCAAAGAACAGCACTTCTAGGGTCTTACAGTTAAGGTAACCTGATATGACTACCTTGTAGTAACTATGAAAGAACATAAAAATCTAGCGGATTTCTGAAAAGCTGGATAATTTTCTTCTTACAGTACCTGCATAAGTTTAAGAGAAAGATTAATGCGCTGTAGAAAACGGTCCAATTTGCAAACCTTCGCTTTCACCTCCTGTGAATTTAGCAGTCATTAGCTCTTGCTGACAGAAGATATGTACAAAGAAATTTCAGGTCTGAAACCTAGTCATGCAGGGCTGGGGGCTAGGAGGTAATCCAAATCTTAAGAGCAGTAATTCAGGAATCCCTGCGAAACTTCCTATAAGATTCCGAAGATATTGGAATGCCCCATAAGTCACATCCAGAAACTCGAATGTACCTGCCCAACTTGTAACAGTGATAGTGGATCTGTATTTCTGTTCCATGACAGCTCCGAACTGTGGATTAGTGCCGGAACTCCCTGCAACTGGAGCATAACGCTAGTCTTTCAGTAGGGTGCTAGGCTCTAAAACTTGAGCTTAAGTCAGACTGGAGATGCCTTTCATGCTTCTTTTCTTGCTCTAACAATATAAGCTTAAATCGAGTAACAATGAGTTGCTGCACGGTTCTAAATATACTTCTATAGCGACAAGCCTCAACGGGTATAGAAGGCATGTTCCTTAAGGCAAATAAGGTGCACTGGCCAAAGATCACATTAAATAATCTCTTCCGTCATTCAGTTTTCAAGAACACAATGTTCAGGTTTACAGACATCATAATCACTATCTTCATTCTATTTTCAAAAACACAATGATCAGGGTTACTCACGTCAACGAATGCGCCGAACGTGGTGAGCTTCTTCACTTGACAAGTAACTGTGTCCCCAACATTCAAGCTTTCCTGTTGAACCATGAGAAGAATCAGGGTCAGTATGTGAGTGTAATGTACATATCAGAATAAGTAATTGCAACCGGATATTTGAGTCATGGATAGTAACTTACCATCAGAGTAATTTTTCTTTGAGACAACTCTTGACCCTCGCCCTCAGCCTGCTTCTCCGAAAGGCGAAGTTGACGGAGATTTCTGTCTACTAGAACGACAATAACCTTTGTTTTCTGCATAATTATTCTCGAATCAGATTATATCTCCACTCTCAGGACTCACGTTAAAAAGGTAATGCACAGAAATCTATCTTGATCAGTAAGCACGAATCGTAACACACTAAGAAAGATCGTACCTGCCCCACGAATAAAGAGAGTGCTTCTGTTCTTTCTTTCTTAAATTGCTCAAGCAGCTCCGGGTCTACGGCCTTAGAGTTTCTGTGTTCCAAAGCATTCACGATGCTTCCGGAGACTTGTGTCATGTTCGCAATTGTAGGTTCAACAGATTCTGTTATGCTCATACTTTTGGCTCGATCACCTCTATCTTGATAATACTCTTTCGTCTGTGCATCATACCCTCTACTTTGTGCCCACACAGTAAAAGACGGGGGTCGCCTCTTGGCTGTGAGTTCAAAGGCTGGAAGATAACCGACGAGGGAACCGAAACCGACCTGCAGTAAAGTATAAAGAGTAGTAAGGACACCGTTCTCGAAGCAGACTTAATTAATCAAACGATAAGTTTCGAACATCAGATTCCACTTCTTAACTTTCTTGAACGTTTACGAAAGCATAGACCACAGCATCATAACACCTCAGAAAAGGCTCACTAATGATGTCATCCGCCGATTCTCTCGAGGGCTTAGCACACTGACTTCTACCTTGACAGCGTTCAAGCTGACTGAGTTCTGAACATAATTGTGCAACATATGGCAAAAAATGTCATGCGACGAAATTCTCATACCCTTAACCGGGGGACGTTTCACGTAACACTGTCCTCAAGAATACACCTTGGGACAGCCCGAATAAACTCTCTACCAGACAAAGTTGTCCTCAAACATGAACACTACCTCTTCCTGACAACTACTTCACTATGCTTACAGAAAACAAATCGAACCAGCGAAGAGCTTAAGTTAAGCAATCTTTGTCTGCCCTCATTGTTGCAGTTCACTTCGTAATGAACAAGATTCGACGAGGCATACAGAACCAAGAAGATGCACACCTTTAGACAGGGCTTGGCTTACAAACCTTCCTAAATTCGTCCTTATTAGCCTTGAAGTTTTGATTATGCTCCAAGAGGGTGGCAGACATTAGCTTAGAAACTAAAACTAACGATCAGATATCTAACACGTTGAGCACATTATAATGTGCGTGCTTGCAGGACTTTCGTCGAATCAGTAAAAAATAATTCTACATCAAGGAGACACGACCTAAACGTTTCTGATGATCAATGGGGTGAGAACTTACCAGAAGACCTCCCCTACCAGTGCCGATAATCTGTAACTCTTCCACAGAGGATGAATCCCTCAAGGCTTCTGCTCGGGCCCAGTCTTCATCCTCTTCTTTCTGTTTAGTAAAAGATTGCGAAAGGCTTTAGCAACCACGGATATCATCAAAATCAATGCCACGTGATATCTCAGTTGATAACCAGATCCACTTACTGCTTCAACAATGTACATCTAAGTCAAGCACTCTCAGCTGTGAGTCAAGCAATAAGCTACTTATACTGCATCGAATTCTCCATCGTCCTACAGAATTGATCAGAAGAACTTCAATAATATAGACAACCTTCCAATGTTACCTTATTAGGTAGCACCCTCTTCTCGTCAAATGAGTTGATTGCTTTCTGCAGCGTACTCATAGTTGTGTCTACCACCGGAGGCTTCTTATTGATGAAAACGGGAGGCGCTGGTTTGGATAGTCTAAGACCTGGTGCTTTAGCTTGCCCTACCTTGGTTACCTTCCTCTCTGTCACCCAACTCAACCGACCACAAAATACAAATTACTATGAGAAAGACGCAAGTGCTTTGCTAATGAAAGCGCAAATATAGACAGTGCTGGGGGACTTGGAGGACGAAATCTCCAAGTCGGGAACATTTCAATTTAATCCATAGGTATGTCAAACCCATATTGTTTGTTCACACCAAACAATCGACGACAAAAATGAGCGAGAACGCACGCAAGGGGAAAAAACGAGAAAAACTCCAGTGTCAGTGCGGCGTTGGTCGAATCTCACGCTCTGTACCTTGTAGTTCATCCGCGATGCCCTGTTCTCCATCTGACAAAGCTTCTTCTACTGGCATCTCAGCAGCCGCTTTACTTTGGTCCTTCCCATCTACGTCTAGGACAGTACTCGTAACTCGGCTTGTTGAGCGTTCGAGGCTTTCTTCATCCACTGGCAGTACAGGTTGTTGAGGAGGCAAACTCGTCTTTCGCAACCTCATTACAGGTCTCTTGGGTGATGTATCGAGAGTACTCGCATTCCTGTCTAAAGCCTGGACTTCAAGACTTTCGGTATTATCAAATACTATCTCAGGCTCCACAGCAGCCGATGAGCTAAAAACATCTTCTTTGTTGTCCTCAGCGTCGTTCGTTGATATAGTATCAGAAATTGCTTCTTTAACCTCAACACTGAGTGTGTTCTTTTCCAATTCGCCTTCACCTTCTGTAGCAGCGTCCTCTACCATATTCGTTTTCTCAACCTTGCCACTGGGAACTTCATTCGTTTGAATAACTACTGGTATAATCTCTGGCCTCATAAGAGTAGGTTGAGAAAGTTTCGCTTTAGGTCTGGTCGAAACTTTAGGACGAGGATCTGGAACGTCGGAGATTTGAGATTTTGAAGAAGTCTCGGTTCTTGTGGGGCTTGAGCCGGTTTCTGGTTCATGTATGGGCTCATTCATAGCTTCGGCTAGTTGAGGTTTTTCTACAATGGAGGGCTTCCTCTCTAAAGTGGGTAGAGCAGGTTTGACTAGAGGTTTCGGAGGCAGAACCTTGTTCAATAAAGTAGAACGTTTCGAGACAGTCCCTTGCCCTCCCTGGGGCTTAGCATCTAGCAGCTCTCTGAACCTCTCTTCGGACATGTCATAAGAATCAATATCATCGTCTTCGATAGAAGTGGAAGGCGCAACTGTATTTGGGCTCAAGGGATCTCCAAGCGCATTGGATCTGACTGCCGAAGGTCTCCGTATTTGACTGTCTATGACTTTAGACGGCTGACTACCTACTCTTTCTTCATTTCTCCTCATCAACATGGGAGCGATAACTGCTTTCTCCGCCCTAGCAGGAGGCAAGCCCACATCAGAATCTGAAACTCGTAGCGGCTTTCGAATTAAACCCTCCAATTCGAGCGGCTCTGCTTCCAAAGACTTCTTACCGCCACCTGCACGGACCAAGGGAGCAACGCGAATTGTCCGCACAGGTGAAGCATCCAGCTTTTCAAAACCAGGAGGTCGTACTGGGGGTGAAATGAGGTCAGGAACACCTTGCTCAAACGTTTGAGTGTTGTTGTCATTAGACTGTACATTCAGCTTGGACTCTGCTTTCGGAGTTGCAAAGTTTTTGGACGGAGCTGAACGTCGAGCTGCTTGCTTTTGAATCTGGAGTTCTTTGTCCTTCTCGATCTTGACGTAGGTTAGTTCGGGATTCAACTTTTTGCCGACAACCTGATCCCAGGCACAAAGTCTGTGAGACAACACACGACCCAAATCCAGCATAACTGTTGTTACATTGCACCTAAGCACGACTTAATTACAGACCACCTAATTTATCTACATTGGTTACCAGACAGATAGAGACAGTCACGAAGAATCTTTTGAAGCTAGGAGCGAACACAAAGTCCAAGGTTATGATTTTTGCAACATTACTCCAAGAAAAGACTTGAAGTCTACAGAATTGAAGAAACAGGAAGGATGGGCAACACACTTTAGCTAGAGTAGTTTGACGGTCCTCTCCTAGCAAGCGACCGAATTCCAGCTCCATCATATCAGTTGCCTCCAGCTTCAAGTCTCCTCTGTTTCCACTGGCGCCACCAGCACGGAGTTGATCCTTCTTGGCCCTGACGACCACCCGTCTCCTGCTCCTTTCATGTTTCTCTAACCTCGTGCCGTCCAACGTCAATTGTTTTCCAACATTGAAGACATTCCACCTGCTTCGGAGCCTGCTATTTCCTGCTTTCGACGAATCCTCAACGCTCTTCCGAACCAGAAACGAGCGAGGTCTGAGAACTGCCAACCTCTCGAGGTCATACAGAGCGGTAGCCATGTCCCTAAGCCCGAATTAAAGTCTACACACTAACTTGCATAATTCAGTCCGTTCGAAGCTACGATTCTAGTGTCGCGAGACATAAACTCCTCCAATTCAAGAAACTCTAGGAGTCGGTTCGGGCCTCCCTCTCGTATATCCTGAAAACATTTCGCACTTCGGGAGCCAAAATCTGCGCAAAACCCCCATACGTCAGCACTTAAAAACCGCTGCCGACAGAATGAAATCTTCTATAGATGAAAATTTCCTCTCCGTCACTCGCGACTGCTTCGAGAGGCAGCGTTACCGAACCATTCTTCTCGAGCTCGAGCTCAATTGCAGTCAGACTTGTATTACATGTCGGACGAAGATGCAATCATTCGAAGCGCTGACTGGGCGGTCGGGAGTCTAAATCCCAACCCCAGCGCTCATTCTTCGTGCTATCCAACACTATCAGATCAGATTCACACGAACCTGGAGCCGCGGGTGAGGATTCCCCTTTTGGCAGGAATCCACTTTGAATCCGTCCCTCACTGGGCTTCGTTCCGACTGGACATGACATGGCCTCCTTAATCTCTTTGCAATGGCCGACCTCTTGCCACGCCGGCCTGGAGACCCGTCAGCTGCCACCAGACAGAAACATCCGACAACAACTGACCGGCTGATTGGGTCAAACCGGGATGGCAGACCATGCCACGTGGACTACGGATCGCCCCCGTGGCCATTGTGCTCACCCGACGAGGCGGGTGAGAGGGCAGACCTCTTCGCATTTCCCGCTCTCCTGAACCCGCCGCCTGCTGTATTTGTCGAAGGAAGGCGGGAGGTGACGATGGCCAGCTTTTCTGCTGAATTTCGGCAGAATTGATGTTCGGTCATCGAGGTCTGAAGGGTTCTGCGTTCCGGGGTCGAGTTACGAGTCGCTCGCAGGTCGCCACCCCTTGCCCCTCGTCGGAACGAGCCCGAATTCTGTCCACCGCAGTGAAGTGATGTTTCTCCCGTCGTCGGCTTCAAACCTTTTCGGGAAGATTCGGGCTCCGTCCTCCGTCCACACTGACAGACAGGAGAGCAGGAGTTTCTTCTTGCGAAATGAGGAATCATATGGAAGCTCAGGCGGAGTAATCTGATGTCGCGCATGGGTGAAAACTCGTAATTTTTCCAAGTTGTCGTGGTCTACTGGAGGCTGAGCTGTAGCCTTGAATCAAGAGATCCGAATTAGAAAGGGTCGTAGATTAGGGGACACCGAAGAAGTGGGAGACTGGGAGAGTTGCCGCCGAAAGGTTGGTCCGTTCGATCGTGACTTTTAGAGGCGAGCCGGTTCAGGAGTATACGAGATGGACTTTGTTAGCGTCGTGTGTGTCTGGACTGTGGAAAGTCCGCGCTCATGCTTTTGAAAATGCAGTCCTCGGAGCCATGGTCGGAGCAAAGCGAAACTACCCTTTCGAGTATGTGGGCAGGGGTCCGGCAAAAGTTCAGAAAGAAGATACACAATCAATTTATGAAGCCACCCTCAACAAGCTTAAGCACGGCGCACTTGCAAGTTTACGCACCCGTGTTCGGCTGGGAGAGCAACATGCAGGGAAGAATTCAGGACATAATGAAGGCGCGAATCGCCAAACTGAAAACCGTGCTGGGGTTGCCAAAGCAGCCGACTCGATGGAAACTTTAATCGGCGTGCAGATTCCTTCAGAGGATGACCAGGAGATGTATCCTTGCTGCTACGTATGTTCTTCCAGTTCGACCAGCACAACTTGCTGCCATTGCACGAGGGCGTGCTGTGGGACGTGTTCCAGGACCTGTGACGGATGCCAAGGACTGTTCTGCTCCATTTGCTGCACAGCCAACTACGATGAGCGCAACGATCGTAGCTTTTGTTTCGAGTGCGAGAGTGGGAGAGCTTCCGTTGTCCTCGCCCCGGTTTACTCGGACCGTGACCAACTAGCACTAGCATCTTCGAGATTTCGACAATCGACGTTGGATTACCTCTTCTGTAGTAATACTACCCAGAGGGCGGAAGATGATAGATCGTGCAGTATGGATATAATGTAGATCTGTGTAAATTTTCATATGAAATGCACACGAGTTGTGCGATATTTGTTCTAAAGTTCATGATTTTTATTCGCTCCCTAGATTACATGTGTTTGATCAAGGGACTTTCAGAATGTAGATCGAAGGCCTTGAGCCGTCCAGGATCCACAGCCCATTGCCGAACGATTTGCCGTCGCCCGCAATGAGGGTTTACATTCACTTATATGTCGGAAAAAGGTAGAAGACATTGAGTTCTTGCAGTGGGCTCATGATAGCCAGAGTAAACCCGTCGGGTAGGCAGGATACAGAGTGCATCTTCATTTTGTCGATCACCTTATCAGTTTGAGGGCACTCGTAGAGCAAGCGAGGTGAGAAGCTGTTTTGCTGTTTTCTCGTTGTTCGAAATGCCTTCAACACAGGACCTCGAGTTAATCTGTTCTAAAAGTATTGTACCATGGCATGCTGGGTTGTGGGGTGATTATCGGCATAGAGTCTACTCGGGATCTGGCCCCAGATCATGAATCTATCTCGCTTAAGAGCAGAAATTGTTCGCAGCGTTGATGTTGCAAACGGACCCTAATCTCCAGTTTGATTTCTCGCTTTATCGAATGATTGGAATCGCATTTGCTCATTTTTTAATGCTCGTTGTACACCCAAGTCGTTGGGAAACTGTGTCTTTGTCCTGCTTTACATGGTGGACCATTTTCCTTGAGGTCTGTTAGGATGAAAAATGGAGTTAATGCGAAGAATACCGTCGAGTCTGGAAGCTCTGAGTTACTTCTAATAAGGCGCGTGTTTTGAGCTGATCAGCAAACGGCCAAGAAGAACTATTGCAGGTTTGTAGGTCACGAGGTAGATGAGGTATATTCTGTGAAAGTTTCATCTACTTGGGAATGACCCCCGCGAGTCTGATCACTGGAGGTGTGCAGTGTCGTGAATGCAGCTTGCGGCATGACAGCAGGTCAAGAACTGTTTAGTATTCCTGTTCCAAACGGGCCACCTTCGGTCAGATTCACGTTCAGTGCTTCAACCCTTCCTGTAGAGCGCTATGATTGCGAGGTATGGGTTGCTGGAATTTCTTGGGCGGAGTGGCTCCGACGTGAAAAGGTTTTCAAAGAGTTTTTCTCCGGGGGCAATGTCTGAAGTGCATCCGCTCAGATCCGAATGTGTTGCCGGCCTCCTCGCTGGGCAACCGAGAGGGTCCACTGGGAACGTTGCCTCTTTCGTCTGAGTACAATTAGCATCTGTGCGCGGAAAGAATGGATATATATTGTCCTTCATCACTCTCCACGCAACCACCTCACATCCACGAAGGACAATAAGACCGTCAACGAACAAACAGTCAGAAATTTATAGAACGCAAGGCCATATTAGCTCGTTGTATGTTTGATGATTCCAGTTGAACTTCCTAATTGGACATGACTTTGCCTGAGTAACAGATAATTAACGTGTAAAACTAGATCACACATTCCAAAGTTTAGCAAGAAAGATATGTCAAAACTGGAACGTGACATACTGAAGGTTCAACGTGTGATTCTTCACGCCTCTAGTCAAGGCTGCGTGTATATCGTATTTCTACACTATGTCTTAAAGTAACGTCTCTAGACTTTAGGGTTACATTTCTCTAAAAGCACATAATTAAATGATGTTTTGGCATAATTTCCCACTTGTACCTTTCTTATTTTTGTCACGCTCATTGCCTACAGGATTTTTTTTGCCTAATCGCCTCTGTGATTATATCAAGCATCATGTCTTTATCATTGTATTAATACTTCTGAACCAAATATAAATTTAATTCAATTTTAGTACACCCAAGATGTAACAACTCTTTACCGACCTAATAGCATCATGCAAAGTTATACGCTCCCTACCGAATAAACAATGAGTCATGTGAACTTCTAATTTACCTAACATTCACAAATGAATAATGACGAGTTAAAAAGGTGAACAAAACAAAATGAAACTTCATTATTCACAAGAAAAAAACCATTCTGAATCCCATTCTGAAGCTGTCACGGACGGTCATACAAAGATGCACGAGTTTGCGTACTTTCCATAACAATAACTAAACTGACCGTGGTACTAAGCAAAATAAGTTGAATCTTTTCTGTGATGAGAAACCTCTGAACACCGAAGCTGCTTTGGAGTCCTCTGCAAGGTAGCTTCTTAGGTTGAAGGCTTTAGACCATGTACGGACCACAGGGCCAGTGCTTTGCCCTTTTGACGAAGGGACTTTCTCGCATACATTTTCTAAATTGCCTTCGTCACAGCAATTTAGACTCTGGAATTACTTCTCTTGATGGCCCTAATTAGAAATGCTTGATCTGCCGGTACTCACCCATGACAGGGTTCGTGCAACATCATACTATGTCTCTATATCAAATAAGTGATCGACTATTTACATGGAATCCAAACTAAGCTTAGAATTAGAGCCCTACCGAAACTAATCCATGAAGAGTAACGAGTCCGATCACTACGTTATTTTCATCTACCACAGGCAAGAATGTTATAGGCGAAGGAGGATCCTCCATTTTTTGCATTGCTTCCACTGCCCTTGCATCGGCAGATATAAATCGAGGTGACCTGTAAAATGCAGGGTTTGATCGCCTTAGCAGGATTCAATGGGCCAGAACTGCTCCATACTGGTACTAAGTGTACACTTTCTTACAATACTAGCTTCACTTTCATGATCATTCGGTTCGGATTTTGAAGACAACAAGAACAGCGTAGGCTGAACATACCTGTGGCACATCTCTCCCACAGTGAGAGAGAAGATTTTTTCTCCATGAGCTTTCAGTGATCGCCTAAGATCGCCGTCAGTGAAAGTACCCAAAAGATGTTTCTGGTCATCTACCACAATAAGGCAGCCACAACTTTTGACGCTGAGCTCTACAAGTTGCTCCATGATCAAATCATCCTCTCTACACAGCGGTAATTCTTCACCCCTCTTCATAACATCTTCCACCTGAAAGATTCAAAATCACTTTGCTCAACACGCATGATAGACGACGTTACAGCTCATAGTGCACACCATAGCGAGAGCTAACGCTTTGAAACTCAATTACTATTTCAATGGTCTAATTTGATCGGCTGTGTTTTGCATTCTGTTCATAATGAACGAAGAACGTAAATGAGGTGCTTCTGACACCGACTGCATGATTCTGACACATGGCTGTCACAGGTCCAGGCGCCAACGATCGACAGCAGAGGGAACAGAGGATGACAATCACAGAAAAGGGCAAACGAAGAGAAGGGCAACCCAACAATCCTAATCTTTTCTCCATAATATTCAAAAGTTTCAGCAAGTCACATCAACCAAAGGTTTACTTTGAATATAAGGCGCTTGCCAATTCGGCCTGCCGGATGATTTGATGCGTACTCCTCTTTGGTCAAGTTCTTGGCCTGCATGATGGCGACGGCAACTGTGTCTCCAAACAGCATTTGTATGGACGTAGACGTAACCGGAGCCAAATTGAAAGGGCAGAGCTCTCTCTCTAGAGGCAAGTACACGTGCATATCACACAGGTTAACCAAGCTGCAGCTCTTCATGGAAGTAACGGCCACCAAGTAGGCCCCCTTGGCCCTCGCACAAGGGACCAGTCTTAACAACTCCTCAGTAGCACCGCTCTTACTCAACAGGACCAAGATGTCCTGAGCCCCTACAATACCGATGTCTCCATGGAGTGCATCAGTAGGAGACAAAAATGCGGATTTGGTCCCAGTTGACACCAGGGTCTGGGAAATTTTCTGCGCAATCAGGCCACTCTTGCCGACGCCGGAGAAAAATATAGTCCCCGTGACGTTCACACAGAGCTGAGTGAATGCCTGTACCTGGGAGAAATTCAACTTATCAAAGAAATAATCTAGATACCGTCTCTGATCCTCGAACAGATTACGAATGTGATTCTTACCAAGCGCTCGGGACAGACTCGGGGGATCCGCAACTTCTGTCACCTCCGGAACTCCCATCTGATAATCCCTGCCCTGCTCGATGCTCTCCTTGTCTACCTTCCCTCGTCCGACCTTCAGTACTACCCACACATCGTGATCAACCGAAGCTACTGAATTGTCCATCTAATGTTATGGACCAATCTGCACATGCCCCTCGGCTTCCCTTCGAACCAATATTCCTCCCGCCTTCTTCTTCTTGTGCCAGGGCTACCTTGCCAGTCACAATCGCTGATCTATCTCCGACCTGACTCTCACTCTCCCCGGACGAAGCGTCCTCTGCAACCTGGAAAATCGTTGCTCAGAGGGCTGACACTCTGCTCTACACATCTCCTTCTCGATACTGAACCATTCCACCGGAGGCCGAGCATTTAAGCAGCGGAATTTCCTTCGGCCCCTTCGAATGATACCTACTCCACCCGCAGCTTCCAGGCCAGGCTCAATGCCTGGCTAAAAGACTGACTTCCGGGCTGAAGCCTGACCCGGTTGACACCATGGTCTCCGAATGCCTCCTGCGGTGGTCACTCCCGCGAGCGGCGTGAGGCGTAAGCCAAATTCGCCCTCGCGAGAAAGTTCCGCCTTCGTTGTACAGCAGCAAAATCCGCGACCAATTTTGGCAGCTGCAGCATCTGCGGTAGATTCAGAATTTCCTTCACGCCAATAGTCGATCGATCACGCCGACAGGTGATGTCAGAACACCGCATGAATCCCGCACTGGCCTTGGCCACTGGGAGAAGGAAGAGAAGAGGAGGAAATTGTCAGCAGCGGATGGCAACTTCAGCGGAAAATCTTGAGCGCGTTCGCGCAGATCTTTGGGCTGGGAGCATCAGAAGCTGCCGCACTGGGTCGATTGGCCGACCAGAGGCAATCGAAATCCGTGTACATCTTCCTTCACGGATCACGCCTTCGCGCATTCTCGTTCGAACAATTATATTATGAATTTTGTTCGAACTTAGCACAGTCGGGTCGGGCCTCAAGCCATCATCGGCAGTTGCACGTCCGCAAGTGCCCCTCGTGCACCCCAAGTCCCGCCACAATCCTTCCTCCCCCCGCTCCGCTCTTGTCGTGTTCAACCGACACATGACAACGAACGCCCCTCCCTCCCCTCCCTCCCCTCCTTCCCCTCCCTGCGCAGGACCGGGGTCTCTTCGGTTCGGTATTCTGCAGTTACGCTGCAGTTCCTCGCTGCTCTGCCTCGAACGGAAATGTGCCTCCGCAAGGAATATATCAAATGGATGCCCAGACCCCAAAGTCCAAGGGAGAGTAAGTGGGGCTCGCCACAATAGTAAGATCTCATGTCGTGCATCTAAGATGGATGCATTACATACGAGTTTCCGATTGAGTGTAGTAAGTTCAACCATATATGAATTCATCTAAAATAGATTCAACAATATCAGACAGATCTTGTATACATCATGTGTGAAAGTTTACATCCATATTGAACTATAGATAGGACTACTTCTACATCTTTGGTATCTTTTACTTAGACACTATAGCTTCGTTTGGCCCAAGAGAGTATCTAATAAAAAGTCCTCTAACGAAAGTCAACGAATACCTTCATATAATACAAATTAAAAAGTGATTGAATATTTCAGCTAACAACGAGAAATATGAGCACGAAGACTGTTGTTATGCCAGACGAGACAAAATGGATGCGAGTTTTATTCTAAAATCATTTCTAAACAGTTCTCTGAATTGAAATTATCTTCACATTAAACGATTTGTACAAATTCTTTCAAATCCAAACAAAAAATATTAGTCTATGAGAACAGATATCAGTCACTAGAATGCCATTTAGAAGAGGACGAATTAAAGATATAGGGCACGTCAGATACACTAAATATTCTCAAGTCGATAATTAACGGTAACGTTCTTTTGAAGCTGTAATATAAAAGAAAGAATTTATAGACTGGGTATTCAAGCCAATTTCTTTGAAAACTCATAAAGTATCTGAAGAAGTTTAGAATTTTCCACGCCTATTTCAGATAATTGACGATTCTTCATATTTTATCTGGTCGAAGTATTACGCTTTTCAACCCATAAAGTTATTTGTCTGCATAATTGCATACTTTCGCACCCGTTAACAATCCTCGAACATCGTTGTTTTGACACTTTATAATTGGGATGTAAGAATATTAACTAACATAATTAAACAGCTAAATTGATAAAGACTTTTGAGGTTGAAGCTTATAATACGAGTGATTGTGAGAACGAGTCATACGATACGACGGAAGAATTTGGGGAATCGCAGGTTGAATTTGCGTTTCAGTCGACGAAGATGGACACGGAATGTTTGTGATATTAGATTTGAGTTAGTATTGATTTTATGTTCCCTTCAGAATACATCAATACCACCTCTTAAAAGCAGAGAAACTTGACGTCGGGGTGAGCACCTCGTTCAAGGTGACTGCTGTGGCAGGAAAGCAGATCCAGGCTTCTACAGAGAAGAGAGAAACATGTCGCAACAATGAGAAGCAACGACTGAAACCAAGATGAGAAATTCCGAGAATCCGACATCAAATCACATTAAGTCATCTTCGCCGTCAGTCTCCACTCCAGAGAAACAGAATGTTCTCAAGACCAGCCGCGTGCACATTTTTCGAGAAGACAACTCTTATGCGCCGCAGGCGACTGCCCGAGTGAAGAAGGGGCAAGAGAAAACAAACGAGCTTACAATCAATGTCGATACATGCGAGCCAAGCCTTCCGCCGGCCGAAGATTCAATATAATAGAGTGGCGAGGTCAGACCTCTGAATTACTCAATATGTCAATGAACGTTTCTCTTGAACACACATTTGGGAGAGAAGATGTATTTCCGTGGTTGACGTCGATCGGACCTCGGCTTATCGGAGCTCCCTTCTGTCACGCGGTTGCTACAATTGATCAATCTTTTTACATGACCCCGGATATGAGATCCAATCTTGATTACCCTCCCCTGAGAGGACTCAAAAGACATCACCTAGAGGCCTGGATGCGGACGATCCTCATCACGGCTCGAGCCGTGGCCAGATGAGGTTGCAGGGTGGAGGGTGCCCTCGACCCCGACTGAGAAAACCTCAAACTGACACTGTTGATAAGGTTTACAAAACATGGGCTGCACTTGAAGGGGCTGTGGCTCAAGCTTCCCATCCACGCAACATGGTAGCTCTGGCAACGCGTCCTACGCCGAGGCTGAAAGCACCCATCCTTAAATTGCAATTTTGGTTTTTGCACAGATCCTTGATGTTCGCGTAGGCTCTGATCATGTACTTTTGCAATTCATTGTTTACTTTCTCCTCGTCCCACATGAAGCCTTGAATGTTCTGTCCGAATACAGATGAGAGAAGGCATCAGATGAATATGCAAAGCAAGTCATGAGCTTCTTAGAACCTTTTCTTATTCCACGAGCATATGCAACGTCAATAAAAAACTTCACGCGGCACGGAGACGCTGATGTATACCTGAACCCACTCGAAATAGCTGACGGTGACTCCTCCGGAATTGGCGTAGATGTCTGGAAGTATGACCACGCCCTTTTGAGCTAAGATCTGCATCAGCAATGTGATTGTGTCTTACCGTCAGTTCTTGCTAGTCCAAGTTCATGTGAGAACTCTGTCAGAGGCAAGCCAACAGAAACTTTCAGACTTTGTTAGCTGGATAAATTTCATCATGCAAATCGCGTCATATACCTCATCGGCGTCGGGATCTGTAGGATGGTTTGCAGCCTCAATAACAAATTTCGCCTTCACATCCTTAGCTGTTTCCCTGAGGCACAACAATAGAATCCCAATTGAATTTCGAGACTCTCTTGCTTCATGATAGTGACTCAAAACTACGTCGGAGACTAACAGGAGAAGAGCAAGACGAGCTCAGTTATCTTCACACAACTCAATCAGGTACACAAAGGCAGAATTCTGCAATAAACTTCAACAAAATTCAAGGATGAAATTAACTTGGAACGAAATATCATTGACTTGCTCTACTCTAGACAGATATTATCTGCAAATGTCGAAAGCGATCTCTCATGTTCAGTACCAAATGCTTGTATTGAAAGCTGTAGCAAAAACTGGCATGAACTGTTATACCTCGTCAAAACCCCACCAAGAGCTGCTGGAATCAAGACATCACAATCCTCTGCCAGTATGGACGCAGCGTCCAAAGAGTCACCCCCAGCAAATCCTTTGACTCCCCCATGGATGCTGACATGCTGCACTAGAGCTGGAATATCAAGACCGGCATCATTCTTCACAGCTCCACTCACATCGCTAATAGCCTTGACAATACCACCTTGCTCATGAAGAATTTTTGCTGTCCATGACCCTACATTACCAAAGCCCTGGATGACATACTTTTGCCCTGCGATAGTCTTCCCGTGGTCAGCCAGCAAAGCCTGTGTGCCGAAAACCACACCCCGTCCGGTGGCTGCATCTCTGCCCAGGGATCCCCCTAAATCCTATACCATCCAGAGAGTGTTGACACATGATAAGTGAGAGAACAGACTCAAGTCGCAAAACGTGAAATTTTTCTAGTCAGTTGTTGGGAAGGCCGAGAGAAGTGACAATATCCGACAGTGGAGAGCTCGCAGATACGACTTGTGACACCAAACTCTGTTTGTATGAACTCAGGCTGCAAAAAGGAGTGTAAACGGAAATATTGTATCATCTCAATCATCCTACTAGATCATTAATACATGTCAGTGAAAAACTAATGCTATAGCGTGGTTGTTGGAAATTACGATGGGCTTGCCAGTGACCACCGCTGGAGTGTGACCGTGAAACTTTGAGTATTCATCCAATATCCACGCCATAGTCTGTCGCATTAAAAGGACAAGTTAGCATTATGGGATTACAGTTGATGAACAAATTTACTTGGAACTGGCCTAACCATACATACTTATTTAAAAACAGAGCAAGCAAAACAAGTCTGTAGTGCACTAGCCGTTAATGCAAACATGAATGGACAAAGACTCAATAACTCAAAGAAATCATTCACTCTAGCTTCAAAGATCTATCCCAGTTACTCAACGTCGAGAGTGGAAAAATAAGATACCTGAGCGTTCGTTCCCATATCTGGAGCTGGGACATCTAGGTGAGGCCCGATAAGATCATGGATTTTTTGCGTGAATACACGGGTTAAACGCTCTTGCTCGGTGATACTTAGCTCCCTTGGATTGCAGCCAATTCCACCTTTTGCTCCACCATAAGGGATATTGGCAACCGCAGTTTTCCACGTCATCAACTGTGCCAACGCATTGACTTCATCGGGCTCCACCTGTGTAACCGATACTGTAAACGTCAAAATTTCTTCTAAACATTATTGAGATGTACGCTTGCTTAACCCAGAACAGTATTGGACATTGTTAGAATCAGAGACTTGTTTTGCTTCACAATTCGAAAATAAAACTATATCATGCATACCTCGGGGTGGTAGCGGATGCCACCCTTCATAGGCCCTCGGGCATTGTCGTGTTGAACTCTGAAGCCAACGTACGATACCAAAGTACCATCATCCTTAGGAATGGTGCATTCCACCTTCAGGACACACAAACTGCTTACAGTTAGCAAGCATCAAATCTCAAGTTGGCCAGACTTCTGAGCACATGGGTGGTCAGTTAACAGACCTACTGCGGTAGATCAACTTCGCGAGAATATTCTGAGATTCGTTACCATCGCAGTTGGACAAAATGCTAGGAGCGTAAAAGCTAACAGGACATTTCACAGCTCAGGTAATGTCGAACGATATCAGAAAATCTGCTAGTAACAAAAGTACATAAGCTTAGAGTTGCATGCGACGCTACTCTTTCTAGTTAGACCTTCAATTGTCTTGAAAGAAAAGCAGTCATATTTTCTTCCATATTTATATAATATCGTGATATGTAGTGGCAGTTTATCATCGGCGTCTGAAAGTCACCTCCTTATAGTCCTCCAATTGCAAAATTATTTTAGTAATATATCCGAGTCATGATTTCCTGCACGCTATGAGAATCCAGTAATTGAACACTGGCACTAGAGATCAACCCAGTGTCTGACTGCGATTCATTGATTGATTCGCCGCACGACTATCGCACAGGGGCTCCAAATAATGGCCACTTGTAAACTCAAGACAAAGCAATGTTCGATGGGGACAAACCCTCGAAGGGAACTTGTCATACTCGGACTACCGTGGAGATACTTTTGATATGTGCTTGCTATTCAACTCATGAGAAGATCGAAATTACCTTGATTTCCCGGTAGGGAATAAGGAGACTTTTCTCCACTTTAGAGTCGATGCCAAGAATCCTGACCGCTTGCTTGAAGTACCTATTTGTTGCTGCTAATGCGTTCATCTTGTCTCAGTTGATCACTCGCGCTTTGATTTTGGTCTGGTCACCTGAGTTCACGGGAGACAATTGAGTTCAGGGATGGTGGCACAATCACCAGAAGAAAGTAGGATGTATTGTCTTTACCCCTCTCCCATTCTATCAACGACTGGGTGTGATGTGATCTTCCAAATCCGTCGATAACTTTCTAAGGTGATCCAGGAACATTATCAGTCATGAATGGTGCATATATCAATCTCCCTGAAGTCCACACTCTATACAGAAGGCATCAGAGTAATATCTTCGTTGGAGCCGAAGGCTGTGATAACACAAGTAGGAGCAAGTGCGGTGCGGATACAGATGTGCACAGGCACTCACTACCGATCACCCAAGAGCTAAAAGCCAGACAGTTTAATCAAATTTCATTTTGAAGAAATTGCAATCAAATTGATTCTACCGGACATGTATGATTCCGTCCTCCCGGTTCATGTATGTACGGGTCAACACATGAGTAGACAACAGACATGGTGAATGGTGAGCCAGCTTCCACTATCCTGGCACTAATTCGTCACATCGTCCGTAAAAGAAACGTTTACCTCTTCGCTCTGTTCCACATCGAAGGGAACACTAACGTCATAACAAGGCGGATCTACAAGTTTCGCTACCAGCGAACGATTGATTGATCACGACAGAGAAGAAACAGAGCAGAAAATGAAATAGCATATATAATGCTGCACAGTCGGATGGGAAAAGTTCCTCACCAGTTTTTTCTCCTTCGATTTTAGCCACAGCTTCAGTGCATCTCTTCGAGGTTCGAGCAAGCTATCGATCCGACACTCCCTTCAGAAGACCAAGACAATCACCAGCTCGCTGCAATTCCCCTCGCCTACCGTCTTAAATACACAATCGACCGTCCGGCCAGTCGTCTGACTGCGACAGGGATGTCTTCCTCGTCCTCTGCTCTCTTCTGGCTCTGCATCAGGAGCCGAACATGTGCTAGCTAGTCCTGGACTCCTCAACCACTGTACAGATCACGGATTACTATACACTTATCGCAGCATTTGGCGACCAGCTTATATTGATCACTTCTTTGCTAGATTGACGGATCGATGAAAGCCAGCCATCCAGTAGCTTTAGTTTGCTCCGCTGATGTGAAGCATCCAGCTTAACTCATTCACTTGAGTTCAGCTTACTTTCCACTTCTGGTCGCATGACTTGGCTTGTCCCTTGGTCTCTCACCAGAGCGTAACCAAGTCCGGTCGAATTTGCTTCTGTATCGTGTTCCCCTGCGGGTGCCAGAAGCACTTTCCCCACTGCCGTCGGGAGTTGGGACATCGGTTCGTCTCGTGACTTGTGACGGGACCATTCGAAGGTCGACGAGGACGGCTGGTTTTTATTATTTGTTCAAACCAGTGCCGAGAGCGTAAAATTCCACACAGCACCTCTGGACGCATTTTTAAGTATACAGGTGAAGCCGTTCACTTTCCGACGCAAATCGTACCAAAGACTGCAGAATATAATTCATAGAGTGCGTTGCAGACTTTAGCGAAACGCTGACGGTTCTCAAGGTAGAGGCTCTTCAAAAAGGTCTCATGCCTATAGAGTTTTCTTTTGGATCTTGATAACCAGTATATGGAGGACTGTCATTGATGATTGCCTTTTTTTTTCAAGATATTTCTGGAAATAGGTTTTTCTACCAGTCTCTATGTATGTGATGGACAATAAAAAAAAAATTAGCTTGAAGACAAGGTGATTTTTGCCATGGGATCAGATACAAACTTTATAAGCTAATTCACTTCACTAGTTCTTGCAAGCTTTGCAACTGTAGAAGAATTTGTTATACGAAGATCCAACACAATCCAGTTGGATGATCACGGTGATTTCAGGGTAGGATGGTGCAAGGTCTCAATAGCTTCGCAATGAAAAATCTGTCATTTTGCATCTAAATTTTCAAAAATAGATATATAGAATGATTTATGCAATACATCCAGAGCGAATCATGTAAGGAATATTGTACTAACATGAATTCCAGTATTATATATATATATATATATATATATATATATATAATAAAAAGTCTAAAAAGTATGCTAAAAGTTGGTATACTCATGTCACAAAATGTGACATACAGATGTGTCAATATTTTTTTTATAAATCAAATGACAAAGAATCAAAGAAGATAAAATCTCACAAATATCAAAACTTGGATATCTTAGTTATTGTACTCCATTCAGTATCCATCCTGCAGTATGCAATATCAATCCTACTCTACTTGGTATTTAATCACAACATCTAAAAAAAATTTAAATGTAGATAATAAGTCAATTACAAAATATATCAAATTTGTTTCTTCTAGTGTCTTTATTGTCTTGTTAATTCCATGATATCATCGAGAGTCATACTCTATTATGATAATGAGTAAAGATATATAGCATGTTGCATGTAAGTTAGTGTCACATTTCGTGACATTATGAGTAGTTGTTTTCTATTTTGCAAATTAACAACAAGTAATATAGTCATGTTGCGTATGAGTTAGTGACACATCCATGCTATCATGAACAGTAAACTTAAAGGCTGCAAATGAGTAACAAGTTATACATTCATGTTGCATCGAAGCTAGTGACACATTCATTACATCATGCGTATCTATCTTCTACTCTCCAAATGAGTATCTAAGCATATGGATTCTTGTTGCATTATACTTCAACTCAAAATTCAAAGATTAATTATGTGTATGACTCAAAATGAAGCAAGTTAAGTTTCAGTGTTTAAAGTAATTATAACTTGTGCGGACTAAAAATCATGATACATAAGTGAACCAAGATCCACTCTCATGCATCCTTGCAAGATTGTATAGACGATAATTATGAGACAATAAATAAAAATTAAGGATCTCATAAGGATTTCTTTATATGAAAATTAAACATGAGGATTCGAATTGTGATCAATTAGCAAAATTTGAAATCTCCTCGTGATAACAATATATCATTTCACACAAAAATCTCTGTCTCAATTGCAATTTTCTCGTCACACGCCATGGAGCTTTGAGTTGTGGTGTGGTGATGTCATCGAACAAGTGTGACATGGATGCATGTGAATGTGCATGTCAGAACAGAGCAAACTGTGCATATGGATGAACAAGCAATACTAAGTAAGATAGGCCAAACCTCACATGGGAATCCATTAGTAGAGAAAGCCAATCCTGATTCCACCTAGACCCAAATGCTGTCCGTGATAAAATAACAAAAGGATGGAGAAGACCCATAAAGTCTTACACGGAGAAACCAAAGGGATATAATCAAGTCATCACTTTGGTTAGAGGTGTAGGTTTAAGCCCTAGTGGTATGAGGAACATCCTTAATTTATGAAATGGAGAATAACGATTGGTCAACTCACTCATGGTTGTGGTTAAGACCCAAGGAAACATCAATGCCAGCGGATAGCGAGCTGGTGAATCAGCGTAAACTCCTTGGGTGAGGTTGTGTCGCAACAAAAATGCCCCCTTATGCCACCCTGGGTTTCGACACCATAATGACAGTGGCTGGATCTCCCGGCGGGAGGACGCTGGAGCATGTGGACGCGACAAGAGAGTGGACTCTAAGATAAGGCATCGAGGCTCGAGGAAAAAGTCTGTCGTGGACACGTAAGGCCACTGCCGGAGCCTGTTTTTAGGCTTCCAGTTAGACTCCGCGATCCAGTCAGGTCCATCTCCGAACTCTGCGTGAGAGCTGACTCAGAATCTTCCAACTGACTGGAATATACCTCGCCTTCGAGATAATATCCAAACAAGGAAGAGGATTGTAATTCGCAAACGCCTGGACTCATGGACCTCGTAACGGACTTGTTCCCCGCTAATTGGACTGTGGCGAACATCTCCATTTGCTTGATCGTATTTTCGTTCGGGTGCAACGAGCGGCGGTACCGTCTTGGTTCCCGATGTCATGCGGTCTTCCTGTCTCTCGCCGACACAATGCTCTCTCTCGGGCTGTAAATGTCATGAGGGTCGCTGGTCCTGCTGGTACGCTGTAACGGCGCGTCCTCAGGGCAAGCCAAATGCCTCACGAAAGATCCATTCGAGAGAGTCCGTCCGTCCTCATGCAAGCAGTTTGCATGAGCAGATGCACTTTTCCGTGATCCTGTGCAGAGAGGACTGGACGGTACTGCGGGCTGCTCACATAGTTCGCAAACGGGCTTCTTTCGTACATGGCTGTGGTTGAACGGGAGCCCGGCCTAAGTTCTTGACCTTATCGTCTGGTTGCTTGAATGTGTTCTTGGGGTTGTACAACATACCCATCACGTGAACAGCGCACTCACGCCGAGCTCTCCAGTTTGACGCCACTCGGACTCTTCGTCCTGGAGTAAAACATGGTCACAAGTCATCTTTTGGCGTGACTGGCACTGAAACTCAAATTGCAAATGAAATTTGCAAATGGAAGTCAGTCATGGCTCCAATCCACACGAGCACATGAGATGGAAAGACTCCGATCGCCCAGTTGGACTCATCTCCGGTCAATCTCAGGTCAATTTATTCCCAGAGACTTGACCTGAGATTGATTAATGGAGACCAATCGACTCGTTCCAAGTCCATGTCATGCGTCCATCCCTGGACAATGGTTTCCACCGACCGACCTACCTTGAGCCTCCTCATGACCCTCCCTGAAAGAGCTGGTGATTGTTGTGTCCATGATAAGTGCCCTAAGAGTAGATCCAATGTATAGCCCGAAGGATGGGAGGAACCCAATCAAGTAAGCAGGAAGTGCCCTGAGAGTGGGAAAGCACGGTATGTTTCCTAATTTTGGCGTATCTCTTTTGCGCATGTTGCATCTGTTTTGAGTTCCGAGGTTGTAGGTGATGGCCATTGTGTCCTTCGAGAATTCCAATGTTTTGTAGCGAGTATGAAAGGACGAAACCTTCAACTTCTCGAGGTCAGCATGAGCTGTTTCTCATCACTACTTTGGATCTCATCAGTACGATGAATGAATGGAAGTGGAAAGTTCACTCGTGCCAACTTGCTGGTATTGAAGTACGACGTGAGCTTCACATGTTCCCATAAGCGTGGAATCATAAACATTTTGAATGTACGAGTGTGAATTATTCGAAAAGGTCAAAGGTCGCCATACGTTCCAAGAAATGTGGAGATCACACACACTGATGTACTTGGTTGAGTTGGATCCTTGAACCTTGATTTGGAATCAAGGACCTCGGAGTGAAATGGTATTCCAATTATTGCGAGACATGTATACCTGTCAAATGCACAAGATTCCAATCACAGTAAACTCTTAGTTTATATTGAAGAGTTCACATCACACTCTCATGATGCATATCTTCAGAGGATGATTGACCCAACCGAGACATATGATGGCAGCATGTTGGGTATCACAACCTGAGTAAAATCTGAGTACTCATGATCACGTTAAACATACACAGAAAGCATAATCTGAGTATATCATGGCCCATGCCCTACACCCAATCTGTTGATGGGTTACAACTAAGTCTAGATGTACTGACGAAAAGGCACGAACTTCATGTTTGGCATTGATTTCAAAACGATAAGACATAAATCTAAATGTTAAAAAATAAAAACCCACTGGTTTTCACACCGTAAAAGTACTAATATTTATGCAGTATACTTTCAAATATATTAACATAGGAGGTATTTAAAATTCCTCTGGAACTTAGGATACACTTTGAGATAGATTAGGTTCCATCTTGCACAAAGATAGGAAGAAGTAATCAAGGTTCTGATCACTCATGGCTTGCTTTCTTCTTGAGTATTAACATCATTGCCCGAAGAGAGTCTCTTGTTGCTAAATCTACTTGGCTCAGAGTGCTGCGATGTCCACTTTATCTCTTGTTGTAGAAATGCTCGATTATATATGGTCGTAACGATCAGTTGAATGAGAAAAACCTTAAACAAGCAAGACATTGTATATTTAGTCGTTCAAGTTAGACAATATCAGTCAACGAATACAGGAACTAATGGCATGTATTGGGTGAGCCAAACAGTCGTCATTTAGATGTGTCAATTACTTCCTGCCCTGAGTTAGACTGCAGTTGAGTTAGGTTCAATGTGTGTGCAACGCCCACGCGTGCAGAACTATGCAATGTTCGCGAGTAGAATAGGATAGCGTAGGGAGTAGGCGTTTCCAAAAAAGCGTAGGTTGTGAAGTATTTTGCAAATGACGTAAGGAAATATTCGAGCTAGGTGACGATTTTTGCAGCTGGATGATATTTTATTACAATGGAGATTCTCCAATTCAAGCATGGAGTATTCA